ATTTGAATACTGTTATCTTCGATTTTCAGATGATGTCACTTTGGATACTTGTGTTCTAACCATTCTAAAAGAGTTAGAGTTAAAAAGGAAGTACATTTTATCGCATTATCCTCAGTATACTGTGAGATAACGGATCAATACTTTTTAAAAAAGGATGCACAGAAATACAAGTTTTTTTATAAGGATATATATATGTTCCCGAAACCTAAATTTTAATGAAGCATTTAATGCTCAGAAGTGTTAAACAACAAGGGAGTTTTCCAATGCATTGGTAACAACTACTCATAGTTTTCTCCGTAAGTTTTCGCTACTAAAATCAATACCGATGCAAGTTTGTTGTTCCGATAACAGATTTTCCTATACTACTAAGAAAAACGAAAAGAGTGGGAAGGTTGCCACGTTTGGAGCTATGCAGACATTTCAGAATTTCTCCTCACGTATATAATAGCTACTGTAGCTGAGGCAGCTCCTAATTTACTGTAGGCCGCTGTTCGTTCCACAGTAATGCTAGGTAATTCGTTCCACAGTCACAGCAAAATTTTCGGAAGTTCAAAATAAGCCATAAAAAATAATCCAAAACATTTTATATAAAATTTACAACTTTGACTCTCAGTGTAAAATTTCATATTGTTGCTTTTGAAAGAATTTACAAATCAAACCTAAAAACTGATTTACTATAAAAAATGAGTAAAAACTTTTCATTAATTTTCATTTTCATTTTTCGACTAAAAATCAAAATTATTATGAAAACTACTTTAAATTTATTTAAACATGACATAGGGTAACGCATGAGAAGGAATTCCTTGTTGTATGCATATGATATTATGTAACGGTTTAACTGCACTGATCAAACAAATTTCACACTTCATTTGTTTTTTTACAGTATTGTGCTTTTACTACTTGAAAGTGACAGATCGATGCTAACAAACTAATTTTTTATTTTCATTTCAAGGTTTCTTAACAAATAAGCAAGCTTATGTACACTACACTATTTAAAAAAGTGTTACTTCTGCTTGAATCTCTAAAAATCCTAAAACTCTCGCTTGCAATTCATTTCTTGAAAGCTTACCCAAGTAGCACACGACGTTGCAAACAGGTCCGAGAGTTTGCAAAGTGGTCGTGGTAACTTTTACGACTTCTTTACAACGTTGCGAAGACGCAAAATATTTGCCATCGCATATTGCCAATTTGTCGACGTCGCTGAAACGTCATGATATGACCGCTTTTACACATGGTCGTTTTAGCATTTTTTTTTTTTTTTTTAGTTCATCAGCATTATTTTTAGAATGAAAAGAGACTAAATCTGCCCTTCCAAGAATCTGAAGTTTGCATAAGATTTACTTTGCAATGTTTCATTACTTTATTTCATCTAAATATATTAATCTAAAGTAGACTCATCTAATGAAATGTAAATTTAATATAAATACTTTTGATTTATTAAATTTAATTAGTACTAAAAATATGTGCTAAATAATTGTTTAAAATTTTGTTAAAATAATTAACACTTAAAATATTTTTTATAAATATTATAGCAAAATATCTAAAAGTGAAACTAATCTATAAAGTAAGTTATTAAGTTATGCATTTTATATACTAAAATATCATGTTTCCGAAATCAATACATATCACGTATTAGCAACTATTTCACTACTGAAATATGACTTTATTTCTTATTTTTGAAGTAAGGACGAATTCACGGCTGTCCAATATATATGGCGGAAGGAGAAGCAGACCTATACATTATTTACTGGATGCTTAATATAACGAACATCTCGAGATTTGCGCGCTTTGGCTAGCTGCCAAATTCGAACAACTACGCAATTAATTCAGATTCTAGCAGTTCTTTCAAGTCATTGGGTAAAGATGCCATCTGTAAGGCGTTTGAAAATAATATTTGAAATTGAATCAAGCAATGGTTGATATAAATAATATTGCTTATAAATGTAATGCACTGTCAATTAAAGAACGCATTGTGAATCTTCTCATTGTTCTGTATCTATTTACTTCAACTGCCTTCAGCGAGTGAAAATTATCGTGAGAATACTGAATTTGTGGTTATTTTGTGTGTGAATATCTGCTATCGTGAATCTAGTGTTCGTGAAATAGTGTCTCTGTGGACTATAGTGGTATGTGGAATATAGTGTTCGTGAAATTGTGTTTCTGTGGTTAGTGAAATAGTGTCTATGTGGAAATGGTGTCTGTCTCCAATCGCTGTTGTTCCAGCGGTGCAATATTTGTATACCTTTATTAGCTTTGTGCTTCGGTTATAACGTTCTAAGTGCTATATCATATATCATTCATATTAATCGATTATTATGTTGGTGCTCAGAATTAATTCATATAAAACCAAAAATAACATACAACGGTAAGCCACTTTCAGGTTTTGCTTTAAATGCAATCAGTACAGAAGCAACAACAATTCAAGCTGTTATGGTATGTTCATTATTTTCAAAATACAAAGAAATTATTGGACTGGTACCAGTACTTAATATGACTTATGAAGATGAATTAGATATATGTATAATATAAGAAATTAGTTAATTATTAAAATTTATAATAATGCACATTCTATAGTATATTGTCTTTTGCACAGTATGCAGAAAAGGTTAAAGATTTTATACAGTGTATGAAATGTCTGATGGAAAATCTAGTGTTAAGGAAACATTAACATTTCTATGAAATATTGTAATCTATAATTATGTGATATTTAATTGTGTAATATTAAAAAACACATATTAATTTTTATTGATTGCAAATTGCAGTTTTATTACTTTTCGTTTGGTATCGATTCTTCCAAACACTGTGTAATTCGCTTTTTTTTAAATATTGCCGTTATGTATGTTTATTAGATTATCTCAATAAATGAATGTTGGAAATTAGGTTTTATTTTTTTATTAAATTTAAGTATATTCTATTGCCGTTATGTATGTTTATTAGATTATCTCAAATGAATGTTGGAAATTAGGTTTTATTTTTTATTAAATTTAAGTATATTCGATTTTCTTCCCTTACTTTTTATGTGCTTGTGATAACAAAGAAATTCATAATAAATAGAAACAAAAAGTTTCATCGTGTGCTATTTAACGAAGAGCTTACTTTAACGTACTTAGCTTACTATCGTATACTATATTATTTCAATTATTTCTGTACAGTAACAAAAAGGAACGTTATTGATTATAAAAAGTGCATGGAATAATCATTGTAATCTACCACTATTTTAAAATGTAGAAACTAAAAATAAGTAAATACATTAACATATGATCGAACGAAATGGTGTTAAGAATCATCAGCATTACCAGTAAATACTGCAATCCATAATTACTGAACTTTTAATTGCTTACTATTTAAAAAACACAAATATTTTTTTATTAATTGGAAATTTTAGTTCTATTACCTTCCTTCTGCTTTTTATACTTTCAAACACTACTAGTTCATGTTTTTTCTTAAATAGTGCTGTCATGTATGTTGTTTGTTAGGTTATTATTTCATTTTAGATATGAATAGGGGAAGTTATTCCATTTAGGTCTATTTTTTATCTCATTTATTAACTACTTTATACTGTCTTTCATTTGCATATCTTGGAGATATAGAAGTTAATGGTTATATTTTTTATTGTGAAACGCGAATAAATTTATTTATACTTCAGCTAAAATACTAATTACGTTACCTTAAGAACCACTTCCTAATTTATGATGACAGAGGTGATTTAACAGAAATAAAAGTGATAATGCTGTTATCAGAAACGTTCTTTTTTTACCCACATATATATCTTTACTTTTGTTTATGTCTAATTGAGTTTTATTTACTTAAAACCTACTATTAAGGATATATATTTATAATAACCACTTTCATAATTACTCTCACTTAAGGAAAAAATGATGAAATCTTAAATAATTGTAACTTGGAATTTAAGTTATTTAAAAATATAGTTTAAAGTACTGAAAATAATTAAAGCTATTATTAATTATGCATATTTAATCTAAAGAGAAATTTAAAAAATATAGTTCAAGGTACTGAAAATAATTAAGTCTATTATTAATTATGCATATTTAGTCTAAAGAGAAAAAATTGTATTATCTTCTGGTTTTAAGGAAATGATAAAATATTTAAACTTTAGAAAAATACAAGGAATACAAAAATTTAAAAAAGAAGAAAAACATATTAATCATTAAACTTATTTTTCTGCATAAATCAATATGTAACACAAAGACATAATAACGACATTTTCACAACTGTTGCAAAAAGGTGGAATTTTGCGAACATTTAGGCGTCTATAAGACGTCGTGATACGATGCTTTCATAGCCAAAATATCACCTGCGAAAGATGCAATAATGACGTCTATGCGACAAAAAGCTCATCTGCAAAGACGTAATAAAGACGTCTTTGCAACGGTTTCAAAACAGTGGATGTTCGCTGACATCTGGGCGTCTTAAAGACGACATATTGCAAAGACATCCGCGACGAGTTTGGAACGTCCTTACGACGTTGCTGTGCTACTTGGGTAGTTGACCACAGTGTCTTAATTTATATATTAACTTCATGAGTTCAATATTCTTACAATCGTTAACTTGTATTTCTTTAATTTTGCTACGTCTTTCTTAATGTAAAGCCTATTAGTAATTTTAAAAAAGTATCCTTCTAATTCCTATTGTTCGTGCTGTTCAGTAACTTAAGTCTTTGAATGAAAACATTTCAAGCAACTGCAATCGTTTCCTCCATTTGTTTTTTTACTAAAACACGTTTGTCATGTAGAATACTTTTACATGTTTGTAAAACAACTTAGAAATACTTAAATTTGCTTATACGCATCATGTTACCGTAATTTATTCATTATATTTTAGCTATGATGCTTACAGATGAAATTTAGTTTTTGTTGCTTTTTGGGCGAAAATACGTGTGTCAGCTGTAATGAAAATTCAAATTAAATAATAAAAATTTATAAACATAAATAACACAAACTAAAATAATATTTATCGTTTAAAGCAATTACAGAATTTACCTGCCTGGTGATTATGGCTGTGAGATTGGATGTCACATACCAGCCATTATGTTCAGCAGTAAACGCTGTATCGGGAGAGTCGAAAGCTACACCATCCACTAGCCATCTCAACTTTGCTGGCGGGTTGCTGACATCAGACCGGCAGCTCAACATTACAGAATCTCCCCTGTGTGCTTCGAGTGGCCCTTCAATAACAACACGTTTGGGTGGAACTGTTGAAGAAATAAATGATATTTAGAGGTGTTTTGCTCTTGACAGTCTTTTAAAATAGCATTTAGGATGAAATTACATGAAACAAGCAAACTGCAGTTTAACTAAGATTTCTATGCTATTTTCTAGTTGAGAAAATTAGTTTTCGATGATTAATGTTTCTTGCAGAATTATTTCCCCTCAGTATAATTAAAAAATTATATCTCACCTTAATTTGGCGCTGGAGGCGGCTGCTGTCTATTTTTCATATCCTCTTGGTTTATTTAAGTTTGTTTTTTTATCTTGATAGGTACCATTAATTTTTTCTAATTTCTGGTCAAGCCCATAATTTCTTAGTTACAATGGGGAAGTTAGCCATCTTCAAAGTAAGATCTTTCGAGGTAATTTGTATAGGTCTTCAAACAACTTCTAACGTATATACTTTGAGATGAACTTGGTTTTACAATTTTCGTTTTTTCTCTGGAATGCCGATGACGCAAAAGTCAGAGCGTAAGCGCACGAAACGTGAAGAAGAATCAGGTGAAAATGGCTGGTGTCGAAGAACAGAAGTTCCTGTTTTGGAGAGAGGTTCGGAAACCAGAACTGACCTATAAGCCAGAAGCTGTGATGTACAACAAAACGTGTGTTTTGTCAATTAAAAATTGAAACTCCAGAAGAACAATAACTTTAAATAAAAAAACAAAAACCTTTTTAAAATACTGTTGTCTTTTTCTCCTTGCTTCGATTTTTGACAATTGCATAGAGAATTTATTTACTTGCTCATAATTCACGCTTGCCCCTTCATTGTCTTCTTAAGACTTACCACAAACGTCTATGGCATCCGAAGAATTCTTAAGTCTCATGCTTCATTCAATATTTCTAAGATTTCCTTGGGACATATACAAAAAGGTACACGGAACACCAGACATACAACAGCAGAGCTAAGGAAATAAGTAATTTAAACGAAGTATCAACAGATGGTCTGCTATATAAAAACATTCTCTTAGTAATTGAATGCCAAAACTTTTGAGTACCACCATGCATATTTTTCTCACCTTATGAGTTTTCCTTATGAGTATCAATAAGGTTAGTTTACGTGATACTAATTTTAGAACTGTAATATTTATCTCTATGTATTTTAATGTATTATTTACAAGGGTTACAATACGCACCAGAAAAAAAAAACCATTTGAGGTTGATAAACTGTGATCACAATTTAACATATTTTCTGAAGTAGAAATAAATATATGCTTACTGAAAGTTTTAATAATAAAGTATTCATTTATTTTTCGAACTTGGAACATCCCTTTTCGTAACTTTTCTCGAAATCGTGGTCATACGCACTGCATCTAAATTCAGTGCTCTCTTCGTAAACATTCATCAGGTCTTTTTAGTCTTACTTCCACTGTTCTAACTCTGCTAAGAGAAAGTAGGATTTATTTTATTCTTCCGTGCAATCTGCATTTGCTTCTCAAAGTCAAAAACTCAACTATTTAAGAACGCTTAAGTTTTTCTCATCTCGTATTATCTACCAAGCGTTTAAAAAGATTTTCATCTGAACAAAGGGAACATTCTTTATTTTTTAACGATTGTAAGATACCAACAGTTGTTTCTTTCTTTCCGAACACTAATTACAAAATACACTTATTTTACGTAATTTTAGCTTTCGTATCTTTTTCCCCTCGTACTAATAAAATTCACAGTTATGATATTACCCCATTCTGAATACGGATTGTTAGAGTATTTACAATATTCATAGTTAGTCTGGTTATATATATATAGGTCAAACAAGGATAGTCTGGAATTATCTCACTGAAAAGAGAATGTCACTTACTTTCGGTTGATAAAGAACGAAATTCAAAAATCCTCCGCTGTCCGCCACTGCTGGTCAATATCACATTTTTCTGCAGCAAAAATATTCGAAAGACGTCTTCCATTGGCGAAGACGGTTTCATGCAAGCATTTTATATCTATAAAATTCTTTGAGTTCTGGTTAAAAATCTCAACTTTAATCATTCTTTGCGATCAGCTTTTCAAGAATTTGTTTCCTAGCTGCTTTTCATTCAAGTTTCACTGCCAATGGTTTCATAGTCCTTCATTTAATTAGAACATTTTTTAATTATCTTGTATTATTAGTATCAGCGCAGACATATGTTTTTATAAATATTTACTTCCACAGCTGAAGTAGAAGGTTCTCTTTATCCTTCGAAATTCTAATCCTGCAAATTTACTCGCGTTGCTCCAATTTTCGTTGCTCATTATCAAATCATTAACATTTGTTCTTTACCATGTTCTTTTCGTTTCGTTTGTTACATAAAGTGCTTATATAAATAGAAATACAATGGGATTTTAATAAGAGCTTAACATTTCTTTACATGCATACATAATTCTACAATTAATGCAAGTAGTATAAAAGCATTTTTAATATATAAAATAAAAATGCTCTTTAATGTAGAAATTAAAATGTAGTTAACACAAAAGTTTTAAAATGCAATATATATTGGAATCAAGAATAAAGTAGTACATGTTTATAATTAGATAAATATGAACATTATCAGTTTAATCAAGATCTTGACACGATTTTCCTTTACTCAAATATACAGGTTTCAGAATATGGTAATGGAACGGTGGAAATAAATAGCTTTCCCTTGTGAAAATAACAATTTTTATTAAACTATAATATATTACCACCCTGCTATACTTTTAAACTAAACATTCTAGTCTTTCTAAATTAACCTTGAAGAAACCCAGTGTTGGAATGTTCTACAAGCATTTTGAAAGTTTTCCGATCGCATTCAGTAGACATAGAGTAAATGTGAGGAAAAGCGGCCCACATCGTGTAGAACTATTGACAGTGGAATAGAATTTGGATATAAGGATGTTCAAAACAATTTACCAACTTACACACGACAGATAGCGTGATGGATGTAACAAGAGGTCTCGGTGTTAAGGGATTGGAGGCTGCACAGCTATAAACCGCATTATTGTCAATGTCACGCACACGAAACGATATGGTGTTGCTGGAATCTCGGCCGAGGATGGAGGAGTTGCCTTCCACGACCTCGCCATTGCGAAACCACTCAATCCGAGCTCGTGGTTTCCCTCCACTGGAAGAGCAGACAAGTGTCAAATGATCTCCAACATGAATAACGTCTCCTTCGTGATAACCATTGATTTTCGGAGGTTGAGGAGGATCTGAAAGCAGATGAAGCGAATAAAGTATTAAAATCATTTCCCAAATGAATAAACAAACTCATGACATAACCGTGATTAATAGTTCCATTGGCATAAAATTGCCACGAATGTTTACTCTTAAACTTATCAAGTAAGAATAGCTACAATTTTTAATTTTTAACTTAGCAGAATAATATTTTTAATTACCGTAATTTCATTCGAACTCACTAAACGTTTTGCATACTTGTAATGTATTTCTACCGTTGCAATTAACTATTAAAACATTCTGGTTATGTTTGAATTATTATTACAAACTGTTAAACTATTTTAGACACACTATTAAAGCATTCTGAATGTTTGAAAACTATTTTTACTCGCTAAACATTGTAATATTTGCAAATATTTCCAACGAAATACTAAATAGTGTTATTTCAGTACACTTGGAATGTATGAAAATTTTTATCTACATAGTATGTAGTTATTATTAGAACATTTAACCAACTTTTGAAACGCATTCGCATTCATTGAGAAAGAAAACATTTCTTCAACAAAACTATTAAATATTCTTCACGAATTTCTTTTAGCTTCTTGATTTGTTTAGGAAAACTGTATACGAGCCGCTCATTCCAATATGAAGAATATTAAGTTAAAACTTCCGAAATGTATACGAAGCAAACTTTCATTCATTACGTCAGTTTTGTTGGAACGTTTTTGAACTTTGGACCTAATTTTATCTGGCATGTCATATTATTTGCAATTGCATTATTCACGTAATTTTAAAACCTATCCAAATTTGACCTAATTTAAATATGAGAAAGTCTTGGATAAAATCTAAGAGAAGGTCAATAAAAGATGTTTGCATAAAATATGACAATATTTACATAACAATAACAAAATTTTGTGTTGTTTATCGTTTATGAATCTACTGATAAATGGGTTTGCAAGCCGCTTAAGTGTTTGTTTTTCTAAAAATATCTTTTACTTAAGTTCCAATTTAAAATCCCGTATCTCACTTTGTTCGGGAAAAACAATTATATTCAAAATTTATTGATTTAAGATATGATCTAAAGAAGCTGTAAGAAAGTATTTAAAATGTGAATGCTTTGCTAAAACAACAAAATTAAGTAATTCAGATTTTTCAGTTGTAAATGCATATTTTCTGTGAGTTTTCAAGATAAAAATTCTGCTTCTAACTTCAAACTCAAACATATCAGCTCAGCTTGTAAAATAATGTCTATGTAAATTAAAAATTTCATATTTAATACAGTCTATTAAAGTTGTTTTAAGATGTACAAATAAAATAAAATTTGCTATTTTAATATTTCACTTTCAAAGTAAAAATAAATCAGCGGTGTCATAAACGATGTCATCAGTTTATAATAAGGCAAGGAGTGCAAAGGAATTTATTAATATAGCAAGAAATATTACTGTCAGACTAAACCTAATTTGATTTAAACATTTCAAGAAAATTCGTTCTTTCATGAGGACAGTAATTCCTTTTCTTTATTGTCATTTATGAAAGAATATTAATATTTTGAATTTACTTATTTACTTTAGGAATATCAATATCGTTTGCAATATACAAAGCTAAATTTTTAGCAAAATAACTTTATTTCAACAGTATGGTTCAACAAAGGCAAAAAAGATTGTACAGTTATTTGGTAAGGACCATTCTACTACAATTGTATGAGGAAAAAAAAATGGAAAATGACTAATGATGTAAAAAAGAATGATTTACTTCATGAGATAAAAACTTAAAGAGAAAATGATTATCATTTAAAAAAATTCAAGTAAAAATGAGTAAACGATTTGAAAGGGAAAAAAAAATTCTTGGGTATTTAAACAAATGTTCAGTAATTTTGAAAACACGAAACCATTAATAAAGGATGGTAATGCATAAAGCGTCGGTTGGCAGCAATTTTCATGTATGAAGTTTAAGAGAATTTCATCTCTCAAATTCTAAAATATTCGCATTTACTTTCTTGAAGTATGGAGCATGTGCAATGAAACCGTGATTTCATGCTACAATGTGTATAATTTGTAAATTTCTTCACGCCATTTTGCATCTTCGGAGTTTCCAATCTCAGTAACATAACGTTAGAGAGTGCAAGGGTTAAGCATTTTAATCACATTATTTCAACTTTTTCTGCGATCATTGTAACATTTAATGCTTCTGACACAATACCATCGTGTTCATATGATGCAACAGCTCAAGTCCAGAGGGAGTCATATCGATCATCCGCACGTCAAGTAAGGGGATCAATTCTTTCTGTTAATGTATCCTTCAAAAATAGGCTGTCCAAATCGTTTCCCTTACTTTTATGCTTTGTTGAGTACTTTGCTGATTAAAGAGACATGGAAATAACCACCTTTCAAAACTTTGAGCGATACGCCGGTAAACGAGCTACAGAGCTATAAATTAAAATATATTCAACATTTTTATTGAAAATTATTCTGCTGCTTACTGAAACTTCATTTTATATTCTTTTGTCTTCCTCCTTTTAGCTTGTCTTCGTGGTGTAATTAGAAGCCTACTTGACACCTATTCGATAGGTCAAGGTTCGAATCCCGGCGAGGGTAATGAATACTGTTTTAAAATAACCTAATGACTCTTATTTATTTATGTTAAGCTTAATCCTTTTTTATAATAATATTCAATAAATTCAGAGCGAAATTAAAGAAAAATTTCAGTCCTTTTTCTGCATTAATTCGATATATTTAGTATTTGACTTCGTAAGTATTGATGTGAAATTGTTAACTCAAGTCTTAAGCAACTAACCGGATGTGTTACCGCTACACCATCGCCATTACCCCAAAAGAGCCCATGGGAAAAAATTTTGAACTTTTTATACTCCTTACTCACCTGGGTAAGAGAAAACACCCAGTATGCCAAATGAAAATTTTTGACGAATCATTACCCACTATATGTATATGAAATACTAGCTAGATATTAATGACTTGGGAATGAAAAACATTCCTGACGCAATATTAAAATCAAACACATTATGTATGTTATATGAACAATACCCTGAATCTCAATGGACAAGAGTATACACTGATGGCTCTGAAATGCAAGACAACACTGGGGCTGGTGTATACAAGAAATTTGCTCCCAATGTATTCCTGTGGGACACTTCATGTCGAATTTTGATGTAGAGATACTTGAAATTTCACTGGTTCTGGTAAACCTCAAGATAAAGATCGATTGTTTCTGTAAAGCAGTTTTTCTAGTCCATTACAAAGTAGCCATCCAGGCTGTAGTTATAAATCATGACACATATTCCTAGATTATCTCAGAAATGGGACAAACCTTGAACTTTCTTTATAAACGCATCAAAGCAATCGTTTTTCAATGGATCCCTTCACATGTAGGTATCTAAGGTAACGAAAAGGCAGATTCACTACCCAACAGAGAAACATTTGAGCCAAGAGAGAGCAAACTTCTTCCTCCAGAGTTACTTAAAAAACATATTTTTGAGAAATTGCTCTTAAACTCTGACCATGCAGTGAAATCAACAGGAAAATCCCGGACTAACATTCGAGACACAAGGAAAAGGTTTTGTCAAAATCCTCGTTAAGAGGCTGTAGCAAACTTCAAACTGCACACAAGCCACGATTGCATGATGCATGATCTTAATAAAATTGCCACCCTTCAATCTAGTATATGCCAAATTTGCAATTCGGGCATTATGAATGCAGAGCATCCTCTTATATACCCAGAACTAGATAAAGGGTCTCAGAAACGTGATGAGATAAGTAAACTATACAGGAATGCCAGAGCTTTCATGAACCCCTTGTAAAGACTACATCTCTTATGTTTCATTTATTGCTGCTTAAATTTTTAACTTTTTACTTTTGTTCCTATGTTAATTTATTCTGATTCTTAGTTCAAACGCTAGTTCTTTTTTATTATATAGCGTTGTTCTTGTGTGATAATTGAGCTGTTTGATAAGTTTGGATTGATCTTTCCAATAAGGCCATATGCAGCAACAACATATTTTTAATTTGAGCATTATTATAGGATCATCTGTTTTTTTAAATATGAAATGTTGAAAAGTTAACTGTGTCCTTGCCGGTAATTGAAATTAACCTCAATCTTCCAGCTACTAGCTAAATGTCGTAATCAGAACACTGCATGAACATATAGGAATAATGTCTGTAAGTCCTTAAAAGGTCCCTTCATTCACATTTCAGATAGCCGCCATGCGACATAAAATGCTACTTTCTCGTGTCATCAGCTTGAACGTTTGTAAACGTGGTAAGATCTAACTGAAAGGGAAATGGGTCAATAAGAAAATTAAAACTAGGAAACGACGTAACGTTTGAAAGCTTTTAATGAACTGAATGATTATAAAAAGTTTGAGTTCATTAAAAACCTTGCGTAGGTTTTGAATAAACGGGAATAATTTTTAATTTAAATTGGCATAGATTTTTAATTAAACTCTACCTATTTTGAGTGCAGTATGATACAAGAGGCAGCAAAGTGATATTGAAGCTCTTCTTTAAGAGAAAAACTTTCCAAAATTGCGGAGACCAAACAAGCAAATTTGGAAAATCAACACAAAATATGAAATGTTAGTATTGTGAAAGCGTTAGAAATTGTATTGCAATTAATGAATTTTATTTAAACACCGTATTCAAACAGAACGCGCTGTTTTTAAGCAAAACTTGCTTAGATTTAACTCATGATCACGCACATAAAGCAGAATAAAACGTGATCCTCAGTGTACCGTATCTTTTCTGACTCTCATTCTTTTCTGCAACTTTTCATAAGCAAAGTAGTAGTTGTAATTCTCTTAGCTGTCAATTCAGTTATAGATAAGGTAATTAATATTAGTTTTTCTTATGTACGTGGTCATCACAACATGTAAGGAAAGAGCTCAGTTTTAACTAAAGGTGCTTTTAAGTTACACTTAGACATTGGATCTTAGTATTTCTAAGTGTTAAGGGAAATCATATACTCTCATTACAGCAAGTTTTCATCTGTGTGAAATGAACTGAAATGTACTTCAAGATCACAC